TGTGAATGTCTGAAATGAACATTGTGTGCATGATATCAAATGATTTGATTATGAATTTAGATTCAGTTTATATGGATGTTCGACGCATTAGATATGCTTACTCAGCTTTACCGCTGAGCGTGTAGTGTGTTTTATTTGCTACACGCAGGTAAGCAGAAAGCACAATGTGATCCTGGCGGCAGATGGGGCGAGATTGTCGGGATGGATGTGACAAGTTTTGAAACAATTTATGATATGTCAATATTAAAATCGCTTCCGCAATATTGTTGAATACTCCGTACTGTATATGTTATGAAAAATATTATTGGGATTAATAAAGTGTGTTTGAAAAGTTTTAAATTTTTACGATTACCAAGTTAAATACTTTAGTCCGAATGGGGCTGCAGACCTGGACGGATTAGGGTGTTACAATAATAATCATTCATCATAATCATCAATCAACATAACAATTGATAACAAATAGCGGTCTAGTTTAGAACGTTAACACCCAAACTTACCGTCATGCATCACATAACATTTTTATTTGTTAAAAAACAACATTGTTATTGTAAAGAATCATCCTTAAAATAATCATAATCAATTGGTATCAAAAATAGGATTTTAGGGCTCAATAATAGCATTTTCGGACAAATTTTCGGATCTGAAATTCGGGGGATCGATCCAACCCTCTCGATCGATCCATACTATGAAAAATCACTCCCAGGGGATCGATCTAGACAGTGGTGTTTCAGCCACTGTTCATCATCTTCTTCGTTCGGGTCCAATTTCGGAAATACCGTTTTTAGTTATCGAACTTCAACGAAACTATATAGAGATGTTCTCCAAGGTTCATATATCATTTTGGCATTATTAATTCATAGTTTTAACATCAATTTCATGGTTTATGATTCTTGGTTCTTCAAGCATGTCAAACACAAAACTCAACCAAACGATCGTTTATGAACGTAGAAACGATCTATATAAACATTCTAGTCACTAGATATATCTACGGGCTTACCTCGAAACTTAATGAAGGTTTTGGAAATTTTCTAACGAAACTTCTGGCGACGATTACTCCCAACTCCGGCGACCTCCAAGTCTCTAGATAGCACCACTCTATAGAAAAGGAAGGATTTGATGCAGAAATGGGAAGTTGGTCTCCTTATATAGAAAAATGAAGCAGGAAGAAGACATGTTCCTGACTTCTTCGGTGATTCTACGATCCGCTAGTGCGCTGGGAGGCGCCGTCTGCACAGTGTCCCCGATTGGGACCAATTTTGGTTCTTGTCGGGGTATACTTTTTGATCAAACAGTTAAACTCTATCCAACGATATAACTTTTATATTTATTTGTAATACTTTTTGTGACATCATATTTTTGGGTGTTTGACTTTGACAGAGTAAAAATTGATTTATTTGACCTTTATTTAAAAAGGTTCTCATATTTAATTCATACCATTTGTTCTCATGATTTATTTCAATAAATCAATTCAATGTTCACATCACAAACAATTTCTTTATTTATTCTTGGTTTGGGTCTGTACTCAAGTTCGCAATCAAGACCACATAATTAGTCAACATATTGGATTTATCTCTATGAGACTTATCCAGATTTTGATATTGGATATTAAAACATATTTCATTTTGGCCCAAAGCCCAATAACAATTTATTTTTAATCAAAACAATTTTGATTAATTGATTTATTT